AACTTTCTCCCATCTCCTGACTGCATCTCTGGAGCTCAGCCACAGTCATCTTTGGGTTCTTCTGTACCTCTCTCACCAAGGCTCTTCTCCCCCGATAGCTCAGTTTGGCCGGACGGCCAGCTCTAGGAAGGGTTGTGGTCGTCCCAAACGTCTTCCATTTAAGGATTATGGAGGCCACTGTGCTCTTAGGAACCTTAAGTGCAGCAGAAATTCTTTTTTTTTTTGTAACCTTTGCCAGATCTGTGCCTTGCCACAATTCTGTCTCTGAGCTCTTCAGGCAGTTCCTTTGACCTCATGATTCTCATTTGCTCTGACATGCACTGTGAGCTGTAGGGTCTTATATAGACAGGTGGGTGGCTTTCCTAATCACGGTCAATCAGTATAATCAAACACAGCTGGACTCAAATGAAGGTGTAGAACCATCTCTGGGATGATCAGAAGAAATGGACAGCACCTAAGTTAAATATATGAGTGTCACAGCAAAGGGTCTGAATACTTATGACCATGTGATATTTCAGTTTTTCTTTTTTAATAAATCTGCAAAAATGTCAAACATTCTGTGTTTTTCTGTCAATATGGGGTGCTGTGTGTACATTAATGAGGAAAAAAATGAACTTAAATGATTTTAGCATATGGCTGCAATATAACAAAGAGTGAATAATTTAAGGGGGTCTGAATACTTTCCGTACCCACTGTATACTGTGTGTTACCTGGACCCCAGACCTTGTTTATAAATGTGCAAAGCCACTCACAAGCTTTTGCCAGGTTTAACACCAGTGACACCAGTGAATGTCAGTCAGTTCATTTATGTTGCCTCTGTCAAATTCAGAGACATGACTACCCATCTGCCCCCTGCAGCTTTGGCCTTATCTAGTCTAAAGCCCTGGCAGCTTTCAGACACCTGCTACTGGGAGTTAAGCCATCAGGTGAGCTGATGAAACTTGCAGAGGGTGAGAACAGTAGGGGCAATGGGACATTTAAATAGTGACTTTTAAAGAGCAGTACACTGCTTTAAAAATCTACTGTCGCTATCTTGATATTGCCATAGTTCTGGTATCATGAACACCTACCAAAAAAGCAGTAGATGAGGCCGAATGAAAGGCATATAGAACAGACAACAGATGGGAAGGCTTCATACTTCACATTCATCTGAAGCGTACATATGTCCGCTCCAGCTAAGCCATCTCCTGGCTTTTCAGTTACATAGGCTGAAGTAACTGCCATCTTGGAGGATAATTTCTTCTGTTGTTGCACAGCTGGTCTGGACACAAATCTGCTTTGTTCATTGAAGATGGAAAACTGCATTATTGTGCATGTGTGAGGAATGTCCTGAATGGACAACCTGTGCCAAACAGTTTCCTGTTTTGTACCTGTAAAAAGAGGAGAGTGTTTTCAGCTCTCTCTCAGTGACAAACATGAATTCAGATAAGCTTTTTCTTAGCTACTAGCTTGAGAGTTATTCAGTCTTATGACTATCCTGAGACACAATCCTGGGAAAATATTACTGTTATTCAATTTGAGAAATTGCTGTGCTTTCATTTAAGGGAATATACAGTTTAAGAGGATATGGCTCTTTTCCACATGTCAACATCTGTTCAGGATCCAGCTCAGGAAATGAAGAATCCCCTTTGAAATTCTCTCCTGGTTCTTTTGTTTGAGAAAAGGATACAGATGAGGATATGACCTGGTGGCATGGTGCATACAGGCATATTGTTCTGAAAATGTGATTAGGTACTCTGTTTTCTGGACAATACAACAAAAACAAACAGCTCTACTATAATACAAGATATTCTAATACCCATTAGAGAAGTACTAAAATAGCCATACCTCACTGTAGATATATAGTCCCACTCAAATTTTATTTAAGAAAAAGTACAGTATATGTATTGGCATCAAAATATACTTAAATTGATTTTTTTTTTTAACTATTACTACGGGAACCTGTAGAGATAGCTTGTGAATTTTCCTGTCTAACTTATAATAATTTATAATAATATATCTGCAAAGCAACTAGTAACAATTTAAAAAAAAAATCATCATTAAAAAAGTACAACGTTTTCCTCTGAATCGTTGTGGAATGGAAGTATGAATGGAAATACTTAGGTAAAGTACAAGTCCCTCAGCAACTGTACTTGTTTTTCACCACTGTAACACCTTCACTTATAAACTGAAATAAATCATTATAACTATAAAGTTTTCAATTCAAGGAGGCTAGAAGTCACTTAACAGCATAAAGGCATGAATTATGTTTACACTCTGCTCTGATCTCGGTTCAGTGTATGACCATCTAGCATGTATTAGTGTAAGGACGTTACAAGCCGTTTGGGCAGACATTGTGGTCAGCAAATGGAATTAGAAGAGCTTCAGTAGGTGAGTGATGTCAGCTCTACCATTCTGTACTGTATAAGTCTAAAACACAAAAACACTAAAAATAAAAGTAAGTAAAGTAAGATAATTGCTACTGAAATCATTTCTTTTTTATTGGCTTTTCTGTCAAATTCTGTCATGAAATATAAACATTATTTCAGTTTCTTTATTCTATAGTAAGTGACATTATCATCATCAATAAGAATCAGAGAATTTATTAGCAAAACACATAAGAAATAATTTCTAAAACATGAAAAGAACAAATAATATTTCTGTGGCCTACCTGGAATGAGGCATAGCTTCTTAGAGTAAATGTAAGCTTCTTCTGAGAAAGAAACGTGTCTTCATGGATAATCTCTCAAATTCCAGTAAACCCAACAGGGAGCGAGCTTTGTTTTTGTCAGGGTGTTTTGTGTGTGCTGAGACTCAGAGTCCAACACACTCAGCTGAACTGTAGAGTTAGTCCCTCAACTGTGCTCATGTGAACAGCTGACACCCGACTCTGAGAGAGAGACCATCTGCCCCAACAACAGTACAAAGCAGCTGCCAAGTCCAAGGCCGATCACTACTTATGATCCTACTGGAGCACAATCACAGCTTTATTTCCATGTAAGCTTGTTCCTTTACAGCAGTGCTAAATAGCAAGAGTTGTCTAGTGACAAACTTAAAGTGATGTAACCCACTCAGAATTTCATATGACCACAGTGAGTTTATTTAGTTTGTTGCGCGTAGTAGTCATTTCTGCAGCAATCCTGCAGAGGGCAGTAGCAGCGCTACAAAGGAGAGGGGTGGGAAGAAAACCCAACAATAGCAAGCTGAATTAAGAATCCATGCTAGTCACAACACTGCAAAAGAGAAAACATTAACCTAACAACGAATTGAGAGTGTTGAGTTTTTAACAAAGTAAATCACCTCAAATTGCCAGCAGTGACTGAACTTCTACTGAAAGACATAATGACCATCTTTTACCTATATTCTCTGTTGAGTGTTGTTAGCCGAGCTATCTTAAGGTAGCCGAGTCAAGCTAACTCTGTACAGTGAAAGAGGCGTATTTTTACAAGAAATGCTGTAATTTTGACGTCGCTTGTTGAATTGTGTGTTTTGTGGCTTTATGGATTAATGCTGATAACTTCCTGCCAAAGTGTTTAAAGAAAAAAGCCAGAGTATGTCTTGATTTAAATGAGCTAAGCTATGGAGAGGAATAAAACAAAGTACAAGTGATATGTGCTAATGTTAGAGTCTACAGGTGCTGTGACACCCTGATAATACATCCTGAGGAGATAAGGAAACCTTTGAGTATTCCGGTTAACATAAGCAGGTGTTTGTCTACCCCAAGTACCAACCACTGCTTTCCTATACTCCACTTCTATTTATCATCTTTTTTTAAACCAGAAATCAATCAATAAATAGTAAAAAAAAAGCAATAAATAGTGATCATTTAATGGTTGTGGGTATAAGAAGAAATCCAGAGTCATAGCTAGACACACACTGACCTCCAGTCAAGTAGAACTGTAGAAACATACACAGAACATACTGTACAGTTTACATTTGTCACAATTTTAGCAAGTTTTAATCAACAAAAGTATTTGGATTCATTAATACTTTACCTCACTCTCTGGTTTTCCTGAATACTTGATATTTTTATTGGCTGTAAATTTGACATCTCATACAATAATATTGACCTAAAACCAAACATGCAGTGAGGCCTTAAAAAGTTCAAAGTACACTGATAACCACCAATCAATGTCAGAGTGTTTGCTGTGGCTGTACAAAGTAAAGGTGAAACCTTTGCTCATCTACTGAAGCATTCATTCATTCATTTCATTCATTCATTTTCTACCGCTTAATCCCTGAGCGGGGTCACGGGTGGGGCCGGAGCCAATCCCGGCCGGCAATCGGGCGAAGGCAGGGTACACCCTGGACAGGTCGCCAATCCATCGCAGGGCTAACACATAGACAAACAACCACACACAC